ATTTTGTCTTTTTAAAAGCATTTCTATAGTATAAATTTACTACAAGAATAAGAAACACAGGTACATGGTGTTCCTTGTGCTCAATCCTACTAGTTATACTTCTCACATCTACAATATAATAGTGGCATAGATGAAAACTGCTGATAGCGATCAGATGAATGAATCGAACACAGAGCCAATTTCTGCACATTGAACAATAAAGTAAATTAATCTACCACCACCATTGTTTATGACAAAAATGTTAAATGTTATGTTTTGTATAAACCAGAGCTACAGGTTTCTGAGATATCTTGGGTGTTTTAGAACACTGAAAGTTATATCAGGATCACAGCATGGAATATTTGTTTTATAAATAATATCACTGGTACAGCAAGCAGAAATATGAGCTCACAGGTTTCTGTCCTCCAAACTTTGCCCAAGGCATAGCATCTCAAGAAAGCTTTAATAGAGAATGGCAAGCCTCAAGTTGTAAGCAAACAGGCCAGTAGCTAATATAAAGGGCTTACAAGCAAGTAATATTGAATGTTGGCAGTCATCTGTGGGGTGACAAACAGGATCCCACCCTCTACTGTTTGAACTGCAAGAGAGCTGCAAACCATTTTTCCTCTTGCTATAAATATATGTAAATAAAACTCTGTGGACGTTAATGCCTCACTGTTTTTGCCTTATGAAAACTGCCCAGAGAGGAGCCACATGACCAAAGTCAGGTATATAGACTTTATATTTATATATATTGTCTCTTGCAATGACAGTGAGTAGTAATCAAGTATGAATACCATATACATACAAACAGACTTTGAGCACTGTATGGATAGCTAACAACACAACTGCTTCCTAACAGTATGCATAAGGGTACTATTTCTAAGCACTGTGAATGCAATTAAAATAGTTCTGAGCATGAAAAAAAAACTCCAAAGGTGTCTTGTTCAACTTAGGGTGGCATAGTCTTCCACAACACGCAATTTGATGAAGAACTGTACAAAATGCCCTCCAGGATTATTTAGTCATAAAAGAAAGAAATACAGTGAAGTTCAGCAGTACTGGGATGACAGAAAAATATAATAGTCCACAGGTGTTGCTGTTGAAATATTTGTGTATAGAAATTTCACAATATACACTTTTATTATAGTATGTTCAAAGGAACTTTCCACCCTCTTATATTACAATCCTAAACAGAACTAGACTCTTGTAAATCCACTGAATTTTTGAAGGATGTGACTCTTGGAGAGTTCTGTTATGTTTAGAACTGTCAAATTCTCTTTCGCATACAACCATATTTGGGAAGCAACAACAAAAGTAACACATGGCATGGGATTATGTCCATCTTTCTTCTGATTCTAGCTCTTGCAGTCTTCAAAAAAAATATCTAAAGGATCATTTTGGAGTCAATTTTTGGTTTTCAAGGACAAGATCCCTTGAATCTTTCTCTCCCCATCTGTAAAAAATGTCTACCCATCTCTTCTAGTGTTAATAGCGAAGGACGAAGGCACGAAACAATACATAGCGGAAAGGTACTTAGACAAATGGTAAAGAAGGTTATAAGAAATGCAAAGTAATTTGAATCCCCTGGCATAAATCATTTACAGAATCAGTTGCCTTAGTGCAAGATGGGTCTTTTCCATTTCCTGTACAATGCAAACTTCCATTTCGTTTCCTTTCCATCAGCACATAGTTTTGCAGTCCTTTGCAAACAAGGAAGATGAACATAAGGGCTAGTGTTCAAGATAAACCCCCTGGCATGCATTTTAATTACAACAGGCTTGTTAGTTTGGAATCTTTAGGATTTCACACCAGCTACAACTTCATGATGTGCGGCTCTCCAGTCTCCTCTCATTCAAGGTCATGCCTTTCTTTTTGGGCAATTGGAGTTTTGACAACAGAAGAACGGAGCTATAAATGTGAGGGTGCAATATATCATGGGATAAAGTGTGGAGAACTTGTCCTCTATTCCATTGTTTGTTGATGAAAGGACTACACCAAAACATCCTCAAATAAGTGTGACTCAGTTTCGCCATGCAAGTAACAACTGACCCCCAAATGAGTGGTGCAAGTTGCTGGATCAAGCAAAAAAAAAAAGAAAGAAAGAAAAGTCAGGTTATATTTGTTAAAGAGAAGCTGTTTTCCTGCTGTTTGATTCAGGCTTCTTGCACTGCAGTCTCTAAACTGAAAGACAAATCTGACAATATGTTAATCTGACAATAAAAAGTGACTTCTGAACCCTTATCTGTTGAGCAGCTGACAGTGAAGTACAGAGACGGTTGTCTAGCCAGACAAAACGACAGTGAAAATATGCTTTCAAACAAGAGCATAAATCGTAGGTAGGGCAAATGAACCACAGTAAAAGGAACACTTATACTACTAATACTATGCACTAGCCTCACTTTACCTCTGTTCCTTCCATTTCTTCCCTTCACATATGCATGAGCGGAGGATGTACCCTGTCAAACTAATAAAACAGAGAGTTGGGATGTGTGTGTGACAATATCTCTTGTACTGAGATTTGATATTTCCATCACAGAAGGGGAGGTGGGTGAAGGAAGAGGCACAAAACACACAACACATCCACAAAAATATTGTGCAATGTGGAATCCAGCAGCATTCCATACAGACAAAAAAGTTTGCATATTGCACTGGGCGCCTCAAGATCATAAATCTATGCATGAGAAAGATGTAGTGGAAATTTTGGGGGGGGATTAGAGTTTATTTTTGTCATCTCTGTGAGACAGCTACTCATTCATCCAGATCACAGCTAAGAAAAAAAGCTGGTCACAGAAATTAGCAGTTTCAGCTCAGCAGCAAAGTCGCCAGCCTGTGAAGGCAGAGAGAAATTGACTAATTAGCAATGCGCACTAAAACTTGACGGTTCTTTATAGAGAGAGAGAGTCGAGAGAGAGGAGAGAGAGAGGCAGAGGAGGGGAGGGGGGTCGCTTTCTCCCCTTCTTTCTTCCAAAGATGTTTGAAATCGCAGTCATTTACGCTCGACAATTTTTACAATAGCCTTGAGCCATAATTTTGCGAGTCTCTCCAGCATCCATCCCCCTGTATGGTCTCTCTCCACTGGCCATGCACGACCGTTTCTCTCCCCAACCGTGGATTTCCTATTACTCTCGTTACGACTCACTGAGCCCCAGGCCCAAGGATAATGATGTGTTGTTTCTTGGTAGCATAATTTGTCACACGTACATTTTTTCTTCTTCTTCTCTTGCAGAAAGCTCTGCGCTCTCTCTCTCTCTTTCTCTCTCTCCCCTTCTCCCTCTCGTACATTTTCTTGCTGTTGCTAATTCATGGTGATCAAATGATGTACGACAAAATAAATTGTAAAGAGTGACTGCTTGGAGTTGGGAACCAGAAGGTCCTTTTTTTTTTTTTTTTTGGAAGGAAGGATCAAACCTTTAAAAAGGAAGGACAATTGATTTTTTTGGGGGGAGCTTAAGTGAACCTTTACTTTGGCAGCTGGTTGTGGAGCAGGTAAGTTTCTGGCCTTCCGTCTAACCATCTGCGTGTATTTTCTTGTGGCTTGTTTATTGTCGTGTAGATGGGGCGTGTGTGTGTATGTGTGATTTCGGTGTGCTTAGAAGTATGTGGGGGGGGCACTTGTGTTACACACACGTCTTTGGAGAATAAACTCCAATTGCAAGAAATGGTCACAGGAGGAAGAAAGAAGGGGAGGGAGAATGGGAGGTGTGTATAGAGGTGGGGGGGGGGAGGAATGACCGGGTCCACTTAAAGGGAGAGGCTCTTGGAGATTTCTTAAAACCATGCTGCCGAGAGGGAAGGGAAGTGGCTGGGGAAAGGGAAGCCCCCCGTGACACAGGAGAAAACCAGGGGTGCAAACGCTGTTGAAAAGGCGGGGGGGGGGGGGGGCGACAATGGAAGTAGCTGCCTTCCCTGGGATCCCGCAGAGGAGAAGCAGTGGCGGCGGCTTTGCCTGCTGCTGCTGCGGCGGCGGGCTCCACTCTCCCCGAGGCGGGCTCCGGCCAGCGCAGGTCCTTCTTCCCTCAGTGCTAGCAGGTGCACCTTCGGGTTAAGGCTCGGCTTATTGATTCCCCGCCGCTGCCGCCTCCAAGAGTCCCGCTGACTTTGGCAAAGGGGAGCTCCGGCTCCCTTTCCCTTACGGTTCAGGGCCACTTTCCCTCCTCCTCGCCTCTTTTTCTGCCCGTTGCCCTCCTGCTCTCCCCCGCCTCCCCCCCCCCCCAACTTCCCAGGGTTGTGGGGAG